AAGTTTCTCCCGGTTCAGCCCTTTTTCTAAACGTTGCTATGAGCTGAATCGTAAACATTGTATGTGAGATGGCCAGTACGTTTTCCAGACCTATCGCCACTGGATTTACGTGAATTATCGGCTTTTCGTTCACTTTGCCCTAAACGTTCAGCTTCAAAAAGCGCTGTCTTTATAGCTATACTACTACTAAGGTGAAGATTTTTTTCTTTGATAAGGACACAGGACACTTAAAAATTGGGCCTTTAACTACGGGAACTGGATTTTATTGGATATTTGCTGTTTTATGGGCAATTTAGAACAAATTCCTAATCTAAGTACAATGCTTTAGTTGTTGAGATATCATCGGTTTCGGAATATTTCACACACTTGACACCACTAAAACTAATTTAAGTGGGATTTATTCCTCCAGGTAACGTGAGACACGTGGAAGTGCAACTATCGCAATAACCTTGCCAAATCAATTTTTTTCACCGAAAACTTGCGATTTTTTCTCCTGCCATTAACCTTGCTCGAGCTCAAGTGGATGGCGCGAATCGAAATTAGAATTTAGATGAACTTGGACATAAATTTCGCGAGCGCCAACGATGAGATAAAGGCCCACTTATGCTACCAATTAACTTGCACTATCGGCAAACAGGCGCAAATATCGAACATAACAATCTCGGAAAAGAACGCAATTGCAAAACTAATCGAAATTCGTACTAAAAAACATATTTTTCAAGAGCGAAAAAATCCCGGCGATAACATTGTTGGAGTAAATATTTACTGGGAATCAGCAAAATTGTTATTTTGAAACAATAAACTGGCCAAATGTTGCGAAACCAAAGTTTTCCAGATAATCGGATGATTAAGCATTGCAGGCTTTTGCAAAAAATCGTCCTCTTGATTTATCCGAACTCCAAGCAACTAGCAAAGAAAATGTGCTAAAGCCCCCAATCAGATTCAAGATAATCGACTAATCGATGTTGTAACGCTGAAATCACCTGGCTCCGACCATCCTAAGAAAACCTGTTATCTACGCTATAATAAACTTTGAGTTTCAAAATAATGATAAACCTAATTAAATAATGAGAAAACAAGGATTACATTGTTGATTCCGGTTGTCTAGTTTGTGCTCGAATGTCGCACAAAAACACAGTTTGTATCATCGACGACCTTTGATGTCAGGGAGGCGCGTGCAGTCAATTCCCAAATATTGTCCCAGAAAAAGATAAACAATTATTTTTAACAGAAGGTTAAAAAACACTGGATTTTCTGCGCTGTTAGCTTGAGTTCTGAGGTCAAAATAACATCGAAAGGGACGCCAGCACGCCACTGGCTCGCATTGAACATGTGGCTCGAAAAACACCAATAATCCACTATCCGTTTTCCTTATTTATTTCCTCGTTTAAGGGAAGCGACTCAGACTTAATTTTTGGGAATTTAAATCGAAATAATTGCCGTCACGTGTTTGCGTTCTACCTTGGGTGGCTTCAACATCTTCCTTCTCTTCGCTGCGGGACCTAATTTTATTTTTTTGCATGCTAAATATAGCTGAAGATAATCGGTGGTTGAATAACAGCGATTAAAATACGATAGTGTTCATTAATAATAATGTGGCATGATTGTCGCGTTTACTACAACTTTGTTGGCTCATGGCTTCACTGGCAAAGCAAATTACTAATTGGATCCAAACTAAGTGAAGAACCAGTCAATTTCAGCTGTTTATCCAATATTGGATAAACAATTTTCTTCTACAAGGAACTTTTATGCAACTGTATGGGTTTATACAACAGTATACAACTGTTAAGGAACGGTTTACACAAAAGAAAAAGTCTAGTGAAGTCAAGTCTGGAATTTCTGCTGGCCATTCCTTCCAATCTTCTACAAACGTAGAATTCTATGAAAAGAAATTAAATCTTAAAAAAATCAAATGGCTGAAAATACGACCATGATTAGAGAGACTAACTCAACCGGTTAGAGAGTGATCTCTCAAAAGTTGAGAAACTTTCACCAAGGAAGATTAATTTCTTGTTTCAAACTTTACAACACCATGGACTTGAAAATTATTCTTTATGCGCGATACTGAGCTTTTGAGTTTAGTCATCATTCTTCATTTGAGAGAGTTGAAAACTGATTTCTCAGGTGTCTTGCTTAGAGTCATTTCTCGGTTATTTTTATGAATGTGCATGTATATGGACACTTCAAGTATAAACCCCGTCATTTTTAATTAGTGTCCCTTAGATTTGAGAAATTGTTCAATTTTTTTTCTTGAGAACTATTGAAGTTTTCAGTGTGCATTGCTTAAAAATATTTAGTTAGTGGTTCTGGGATGTTTGGAAAATTTCTGAAAAATCCGTAAGCAAAAAAGTAAAACCGCCTACCGATCGCAATATGGTGATTAGTAGGTATACACTAATTTCCTCCAAATACCTGCTAAAATCGCATCAAAAAATGAAAACCAACTTTTAAATCACAAAACTTGGGATTTAATCTTAATTTTCTCGTTTTTCGCGTATTTCTTTCGAGAACTTCTGAGACTGTTGAGACACTGAAAAATTATCAAATTGAGGAAACAGGAACAAAGGAAGTGGTTAAAAATTCTTACGCAACATGCCGGAAGTAAAAATCGCAACTTTCTTTTGATCTGAAGAAGGTTCTAAAGACAGAAAACCGTCACTCAACATCTTTAAACTTTCAAATCAGGTAGCCGAAGAGTTTCAAAGGGTTTTGACTATAAATATCACTGAATTTAAAAGAAGTTTTCATTGTTTAGTGTGTCTTTTAATGTGGCATCCGTTCTAAAGACTTTTTTCGTTCAGCATTCATTCGTCTCCAATCATCGGCAAGTACAAAAGAAAGAAAACATATTGAGGGTGGTTTTGTAACATTCAGGGACGTCGTTATTTATGATGCGTTCCAATTCAAAATGCAGCTTTGAACCGGCGTAATCCCAAGCTTACTGGACAATTTAATGGCTTTAATTGTCCCCAATGCCCTCTCGGACGTCCGAACTTACCCCCATGGACTTTTGTCATAATGGGTGCGTGGGACGTGTATGTCCATCTGCGATTGTGGGAAAGAAATTAATTATCGAAAGGGAGCGAAATTGGAATTTTTCAATTTTTAGGGGTAGGTCCTCCTACACTAAGCTCTCAGATGGGTTTCCAATCCGAAATGACCGTTAAATATTCTGTGGACCAACATCGCGTGAGAACTTTAAATAAATTGCTTCTTGTCAACGATTCGTTGTTCTTTCTACTACTTGCTACGAACACTAACAGGGGTTTCTTGCTGGGCGCCACCCTTCAAAGGCAAAAAGCACCGCAACCTGCTCGAGGGTTTAATTCGATAAAAAACGGCACGTGGCGGATCGTTTTCACCCTTGTTAAAAAGGGGCGCTTTTTTATGTGCAGTTTTTTTGCCACCTTGCATTGTGCATGCGGGTAATCTCCCAGTTTATTTATTAGAAGTTGGGCGTGTCGGGTTTTCCACTCCCTTCGAGGCAAAAAATCAGCTAAAAAAGTGCTCTATTCATTGCTTTCCCGTTAATTAATCAATTTAGTTGCAAATAATTTTTACTGGTTATAGTTTTGGCGCATATCTTGCAACTTTTAGGGAGAAATTGGTGTCTAAACCAGGGTTGAAAGACCGCATTTTCAGGTTTTCTCCAGCCTAAATTGACTCCAGATCTACACAGAAAGAATGACAAGTTTTGCGAGTTGCAGAACACCACTAAGAAACACCCGGAAAACTCAAAATTCCCCCATTTACTGAGTTAGAAGAGAACGTATTTGGTCATCTAGCAAGAATATCAACCATTCCCAGACGGAAGAAACTGGGACTTTTTCAAATATTTCCCTGCCAATTTTCAAACATCAATCTCTTTTTACCAACCCCTACAGGAAGAATTCAAAAAACACCGCTCCAGTTGTCATCCTTCTACTGACCTACCGACTGCTCCCAATTCCCTTTAACCGGTGCAGTTCTTTGTTCAGTTACATGATGTAAAAGTTTCAAAATTCCCTATAGTCAACGCAATTTGAAGTCTCAACAATTTGACCAGCAAAGAATGAAACTTAAAATCGGTTCTCAACTTAAAGAGGAAACAAAATAATGAAAAGAACAACATAAAAGAAGAACCTGAAACCCATTTTTGCAACCCTAAAAGAGAATTTGCTGGTAGATAGTTTTGAAAAGTTGCCCACATTGAGGGATTTCGACAAATATACTCCAGATGGACTCCCTATTGCCTTGCTTGCTCTGTTTAACAATTTCAAGACATTTTGTGATACTTCGAAAATTTTCTAATAATTTTCTAATAAAGTGACTGTTGCCGTCTTTTCTCAATCAATTATTTAATTTTGAGAGACTCATCATTTTCATAGGATGTAAATATTCGTTCTTTCAATGTGCTAGAGAAGAATGGGGCTAATGTGGGCCAGGAGTTGAAAATCGCCTTTAAATAGCAATAATTTCACTTGTTATTTGGAAGTTCTTTAAGCATCCGTGGGCAGGTGAGTGTGGAAAATTTAAAATTCCTCCAAATGTATTTGAAACTTTGACCAATGTTTCTTCCGATTTGGAATTTGTTTATGTTGTCAGAAGTGGAAGAATTTAGTTGAGCTGTTTACTGAACGATAAAAAAATCGATTTTTCTGACATAAACATGTTTGTTTTCTGTTTACTATATTTGTTATCGCGTTGTAACAATTTGTTATCTAATAAAAATGCAATTTAACTACAAATACTTCCTCGAGTTGGCGACACAGGTGAAGGTGACCTGCAATAATCAACAAGCAAACAAAACTCATTCTACTAGAGCATATCTATTAAAAACTATATATCACCGAAATGTGAAAATCTCATAATTTATTGTTGTTTCCCGTACAAAGTACGAATTAATGTCAAGGGCATCTTGAAAGTTTTTTCCGCATTTTTCGCTCTTTTATCGCGCGATTATGTTCCAATTTTTCGATTTTCCTATCTTATCTGATGGTTTTCTCTCGAATGAGTCCGAATTTGTATGAAATGGATTTGACGCTTTTTTTGGAAATTTCCATTAAAACCGCACACCAAAGGCGAAATTGATTAGGGCCAGATGGTTGCGGCGTTTTTGTGCAGAAAATCTATAATTATGTGGCTGGTAAACTAACCTGACATGGGCACGAGCCCCAGGTATATTTATCTTAAATTAGAAACACCCCCGGTAGTTCCGATGGCGCTTTGATAATCCCATCTCATTTTCGGCTGTTTTATGGGCGTGGCACCTTTAATTAGATTGATGATTTTTTGGAATTTAATGGGAAATTCCCGAATTACTCGAATCCAGACCTGCAGTTTGGTGAACAAATGCCCCAACAATGCAAACTGATTGATAATCCTTCAAGTAAATGGGCCGGCCAGTTGCCATTACTATTTTCTCCCTTGCCCTTGACCAACGGTCAGTATGGGATGAATCATTCCAGGATTTCTCCCAGAATTAAATGCCTATGACTAATCCTGCATGTTGTTTTTTTGTACTATAATGTTGCCGGTTTTTGTACAATTAGGTAAAAAGCCAAACTCCGCCTGGTCGGCATGGCAACGGCGACTGTTTGTTTGTATTCCAGAAAGTTTTTGTGTGTATTGTCCAGTCAATCATCTAGAAAAATGGGTTTTTTTGCAAAAACTGGCTGCTAATTGTGTGTTGGTATTCGTGTTTTTGAGCTGCTTAAAACTCTCGGTAGTTCTTATATGGTGAACGTGTAAACTTGCCTTGTTAACTGCAGGATTGACCAATTTGAATGGGTAAGTGCCGCTCGGGATATTTTGCTTGGATTTCTTGAATTTGCCTCCAGCGGAGCTTTGAACGGAAGCTGGATTGCAAATTGCTTAAATTTGGCTTTTAAAATAAACTGCATTTGCTGAACCGATAATAAACGCCAAAACCGTTTGACAATACAAATAAACAGGCTCCGTCTCCATGAGCACCGAGCCTAATTGTACAATCTGGCTGAATTATTGTACACAAACTAGTAAAAAGGGGGATGGTCGATTGTGGACAGAATCCAATTAAATCGAAAAATTGCCCAAAAAAAACAATTCAACTGAAATTTCTTTATTTGACTTTCATTGGTTGTTCCTGCAAATTTTCTTTTTCAGAAGTTTGCCGGTTTGTTCTGCCCCACTGGACTGAACTTTGTGAGCTTATGAGGCAAAATTCTCGGTTTATTAAATTATGCATCCCTCACACTGTCAAAATCGAAGCAACCAAATGGTTAATTTCATAATATAAATAATGCCGCTTGGCAACAAGAAAGATAACACTTTTTTGCAAAACTATCGCAAGCAATTTCCCATAGAGATAGGTCATTACAATGCAATTAGTTGCATAAACATAAGAGCCGATAAGCCAATGTAATGAAGCAGCGCCTCTCAATGCTTGTATATGCATATTCCAAATTATCTTTAAAAGAAAAGCGTCTCAGTGCCGAAATGCGTTTTAACTATATGGATCAATAGCGACTAACTACGCGTTATCTTTGAACGTTTCGATGTGTTTTTCTGCGGCAACGTGGAAGATAAATGGGTTCACACGTTCTTCTGTTGGTCAACATGGTGATAACTTGATGAAACCTCAAAAAAACACACATGACATTTCCTGGGGACTTTTTCGGCCCACTGCAGCCATAAAATAATCTGTGCGGTTATGGGTCAACAGTACTATCTGAGCAGCGACTATTACTTGAAGAAAAAAACGATAAAACCACCTCGAGCGGTTTAAAAAACGATAAGGAGCATCGATTCGAGATAGCGTTTTATCTCAGTTGTTACACGCCTATAGTTTCCCACCAATCACTTGTTCCAGACAAAATAGCAATTGAACTTTGCGATTAGCCCACATTGGCACCGTCCTTTTCTAGCACACTAAGAAACAGTTGAACCAATAAGCAAAACCCGGTTTATTTGCAATTTCATTGTTTGCAAGCAAAAAAGTCTACTAGGAGTATTTTTGTTTGCCCGCATTAGCGGGTTTTATTGTGTTAGAGAAGAATGGAACCAGTGTGGGCTTTTAACGGCGCAAAAAAACTGTGAGCGCATCCTTCTGTCGCACATTAAACTCGGCTATTGGTGCATATAAAAAACGCCCCTTTGCACTTGCTTGCCGGTAAAAAACTGGTGTTGAAACCCCCAAAAAAACCGATACCACGCCTCGATTCTCATCGCTGTGGTAAATTTAAAGCTGCCCGACTATTTTCAGATCGTTTGGGCTTGCGAAGGGTAAAAAGCGGTCCCCTTTTTGGCTGGCAGTTATATTCGCTTCTCCCCTCGTCCAATTTTTTATGTATAGAGTTTCGGGGATTTTTACGTCCCTTATGTATTGAAAGTCCCCGCTTGTGCCGTCTATATAGGCACGCTTTGAGCACGTCCTACCGACGAAAATAACTCACCCTTATGAACGCAGCGCCGTTTCGGTTGGCGTGTTTTAGATTTAAAAAGAAAAATGGTTACTATAATGGCTTTTTTCTGCTTGTTTCCTCCAACAGACACGCGCTTTTCTGGTTTGTTAATTAGCCGACCGTAATTTGACGGGTTTTTCGCCAATTTTAAACTGATTTATGCTCGACCGAATGACTCGTCCAAAATCGAAACTGTCTTTCCATTATCTGCACTTGGCCGAAAGAAAGGGCCATAAACTATTCCCAAACCGCACAGAAAAGCAAACTTTCATCGCTCAAGATTGAGGTCGTTTGTGTTTGTTTGGATTTGTTCAGATTCGTGTGTGCTCGTTTGCAAGCATTGTTTCAAGTTCAACTCGGCTGAATCGCAAATTCTGCTGGTGATTGTTTGGATTTGTTCGCGTTCGTTTAGGTTTAAGTTAGTTTTGCAATGAAAAACACTTCAGCTCAAGCACGGTTAATAGAGTTTGAAGCACTTTAAACGACTTTATGTTTGTTTAAGTTCGTTTGGGTTGCCATTGCGTTCGGTTGTTCTCATCTTTTTCACCGAAAGGGCCATTCAATTGAATTCTGAAAATGTTCGTCTGGATTCAACAGTTTTGCAATAATTTGCAATGTTTAAACTTGATTCATAGCTGGAAAAACTGTCAACATTTTCAATTTAATTTTATAATCGCCATGTCTATAATAGCAATGAGCCAAAGCGTGATTTGAACCAAAAATTTACCATTTACATTTTGAAGCCTTCTAAGCGACTGAATTCGATAAATGTTTGTTTGGGTTCCTTTGAGTTGTTTTGGGTTCGTTTGGTAAAAATCAAAACCGGCTTCTACCAGCTTAACTTGGTGCCAAGGAAAAGAGGCAGCAAAGTAACTAAAAGTCTCTAGTCAATTTCGTACATGAACGTTCCTCAAATAACTGTTAAGAGCGGTTACAGTTGAGTTCGTTTGTTGTTGTCAGGGTTTGTTCAGTTCAGTTCAGTTCAGGGCTGATTTGTTGCATAAACCGCCAAAAAAAGTTAAGACTCCAAACGCTCGGTTTCTTCACAATGGTTGTTTGTGAATTTCGTCAATGTTTGTTTGGGTTCGTTTTGATTTGATTGTGTTTGTCCTACTAGTTAATTTTTTAAGTTCAAACCTGACTTAAGACTTTTTATAACAGATCGTTGGATAGATAATTGAAAAGTCGATTCAGTCGTAACAACGTGAGTGAGGAAATTCGAGTAATTTTGACCCAGAAAGTGAAATTTGAATATCAGACACTTAGGTGCAAGATTATGCCAAAATTTAATTTTTTCCGTCCCCTTTTTGCTGATATCTTGGAGGCAAAATGAGCAAGAACGCTCATTTGTACATCATTCTAGACAGAAATAAATGGCCTTTTTAGAAAGTGAACGATGGATGGGGAATTGTTGGCAGTTTTCTCAAAAAATGCTTGAATTCAAGAAGTTTTAGATTTGCGTGTTTTTTTTTGAGTTGCAAAATCCACTTGAACATGGCGCTGCTTTTTTCGAAGTTTCTCAAGAACCATTCTACTCACAAAATTCGTTTTGGCATCGTTGGAAAGATAATTGAAAAGTCGATTCAGTCGTAACAACGTGAGTGAGGAAATTCGAGTAGTTTTTACCCAGAAAGCGAAATTTGAATATCAGACACTTCGGTGCCAAAATTCCATGTTTTCCGTCCCGTTTTTGCTCATTTCTCGAAGCCAAAATGAGCAAGAACGCTCATTTGTACGTCATTCTAGAGAGAAATAAATGACCTTTTTAGCAAGTGAACCATCGATAAGGAAATGTTGGCAGTTTTCTCAAAAAATGCTTGAATTCAAGAAGTTTTAGATTTGTGTGGTTTTTTTTTTGAGTCGCAAAATCCACTTGAACATGACGCTGCTTTTTTCGAAGTTTCTCAAGAACCATTCGAGCSAAAGAATTCGTTTTGGCATCGTTGGATAGAGAATTTTCCCMAGGGAGAAATCCCCCCTWGGATCCGCCCTTGCATTTGATGGCATAGTTCTTCAAGCAAATTTAAAAAAAAGTTGTTGGTCTGGAGACGTTTTCCTTCGTTGAATGCCTGGAAATTCGGATCAATTTGCTGCACGCTCGACTTGAAAATTTCTCAATTGCGGTGTAAATTTTCAAGACGGTTTTTTGTTTGGCATTCAAACCGCATCGAGAAAACAGTGCTTGTAATGAACTCCACCCGAAATAATTAGTTGATTCTTGAAATTGCGACTTCCGTGTGCCCATTGATGGAACATTATTGTGGTAAATCCGGCTTAAACAGCTGGACTGTCTCGAAAACCGTTAAAAACGTCTTTACTAGGCTAGCAGAAAGTCGACGAAAAAGGAACAGGAAAGCACCCTTGAAGAGTGCCAACGAGATGTATCGAATTCATATTAAAACCTCCGTATTGATTATGTTCAACGGCTGCGGACTCAGTCTCGACGACAAGTTTGTGAGGGTGAAAATAGCAGAGAGACAAAAATGATATTTTCAACTTGACAGGGTGGAACCGAGCTTCACCAGCAGTGCCGTCTTTTCCTCGATTTCCACTCCGTTTCGTCAAAGCCCCATTTTTTGTTCGGCAGATGACCGTCCGAGGTAGCCTTATAACTATATAATTTCACGTTTATAGGGCTGATTATTTTGTTGTGGGCTGACATCTCAATAAGCCAGGTGATGAGGATATGAGCAATCATAAAAAAGAGCCTGACAGCCGATCAGATTTGCTAAGGGCTCGTGCCCAAATGCGAAAAAAACAACTCAACCTTCATGCTAAGGGTGGTCGTTCTTCAGAGGTAGGATTGGGTTAGTTTTGGGCCAGTTGGAATTAACAAACAAATCGCTTAGAAATCCAGAGATTCCTAATCGACTGTTCATGGAAAAATTAGATTTTTGACGGGTCAAATAAGCGCGTGTTTTTAGGGTGAGATGCACCTGGTGCAAGCTGCAGCTTTAGTGGACAAAACGGCCAAAAATCACGACCATTCCAACAGTGGATTGTCACTGATATTTTATTTATTGGCCGCCACGAGCTGTTGCCGGACACCTTTGTGTTTCAAATTTTTCGATTTTATTTTGTCAATTTACCAAAAAGATGCCTGAATGAGGGTCGCTTTTACTGGCCCATAATACACCCACTAAAAAGCTGCATGTTTCCGCTCTATTCACAAAACTTTACGTCTTAGTAATCTGATACTTAGTGCTTGTATTTGTAACTAGTTTGGTCGATTTTTGGCTGATAATTCCCTTATTTTGTTGCGAAGATTAAGTGGAAACAATGTTAGAGAAAAAAATGTTCACATGGTTGATTTTAAAAAATTGTCAAACATTTCCTGACGATGACCTG